CCCCTAATGTGCGCCACTGTGTAGTTGTTTATTACCACTTTGATGTTTACTTAGGCATTTCTTTTTGTTCGTATAAGAGGTCAGTTGATTTAAAGCTACTCGTTCACAAATTTTAGAAGTCGCTGGTAGTAAGGGACCGTTCATTATTTATACCTGGGGTTGGTACCGAAGAGAAGCGAAAAACACTGTAATTTTTTTATTTACCCAACCTCAACATTGGTCAAAATAATGTTTACCCAACCCATGTGTTACTGTACTTAATAATTAAACACACAAGATTATATGGTGACAGAAATCAAGTTGCCTAAATTTTAAAAGCTCACTCAGACTCAACCTCACTGAGTGTGCCAATGGAACCACGTTCCTGCTGATCAATAATAGAGTCCTTCCTCAATCACTGATAGTCTACTTTGGTACAGAATGTATTGTGCACATTTTTCTTCATATTTTCCAATGCATGGTAATTTCGGTTTTATTTTATAGCTGACAGACAGCCACAAATTTTTTTACCCAACCCATGAGCTAGTCAAAAACTTGATTACCCAACCCATATCTCTTCGGTACCAACCCCGGGTGTAAATAATGAACGGTCCCTAACGATAGTGGTCGATTGTTATTTGCCACTTCGTGATCTCCCTCTTTAAGAAGTGGTATTACTTCTGATATTTTCCAGGCTGATGGAAAGACTGAAGTCTGTAACGAGCGATTTATCATGTCAGTAATAACTGGGAGAATACATGGAAGTGCATCCTTTATCGTAGACATTCGTACTTTATCATGGCCAGGAGCTTTGTTCGATTGGAATGTCATAACTGTCCTTCGTACTTCTCCACACGAGACAGGAACAAAACTATATAGATTTTGTTCGGAGGGACAGTGAAAAAGTCAAAAATGTTATACTAACACAGTCTGCATCCCACATTTTAGAATGGTTGTATCCAGTCGGCCAATCATGTACAAGTATTTCATAGATGGCTGATCTATATTACCTAATATATAGAGTTGCTATAATGAATTCAAGATAAACCAGGAACGACAGTGCTTAATGAAATGAATGAATCCAATATAGGCTCAGGGTATAGACTACAGGGTGTCAATGGGATATATTTGTGGTCAGTAATTCATGGGCGTACCGGAAGGAAAAAATTAGGGGGGCGGAAAGAAAATTGCCCGACTTTTCGGGATTCTGCCCGACTAGTACCAAAAAATTTTTTCCGGAAAAATTATTCCCCAAAAAAATTTCGGTCAGTGTACCATTTTAGGGGTCAAAAAAATTTTCCGGACCACAAATATTTTTCGGAACATAACACAAATTTTCGAAAAATCACACTAAATTTGCCAAAAAATTGACTTAATTTTACACAAAATTTGTCCCATTTTTTTTTATTGCAAACCAAAATTGCCCGACTGTTGATCGAATATTGCCCGACTGCCCAAAAAACTGGGGGGGGGGGGGCTACCGCCCCCCCAGTTTTTTGGGCAGTCGGGCAATATTAAAAGTCTTTAAATTCTTTAGTGAGGAATTGATTATACGATTTCCTAGCTAATAAAATAGATTGATTGAAGCAAGATTTTCGCAAATATCGACAAAAAGGCGCATTTTAGGATGTGATTTGACTGGACTAATTACTGCGTAAAAATGGTGCTTACACTCGCAATTTTGTCGACAGCTAATTGCTCTCAAAGGGCTTTGAAAAGTCTTTGAAAATAGGCACAAAAAATCTTTGAAAGTCTTTGAATTGTTTTGGTCTTGGAGACTACGAACCCTGTAAATAACCAACGAGTATATACTGGCGTTTAATTTTACAGGACTTAAAATATATTTTACAGGGCCGTCTGACAAAATAATGAAATAAAACTGTATGTAAAATATATCCCGGTGGTAGCCCAATGGCAATGATTACATTGACACAGTCAGAACAAGAAGCATCCAACAGACAAGTTGCATGTTAGACTCGTTTTTGATCTAGATAAAAAAAGTAAATTCCCGTACAGAACTTATTAAAATTAGTAAAATGTCAAAATTTGGTTACGAAATGTTGCATAAATCGGAAAATATAACCTTGCGAAGTTTGTATATTTGGTGTATGTTGTAGCGGAACTTAATGTTACCATTTTTGAGCCGAAAACGGGTAACAATTTCCGGACGTAATACAAACATATATACAAAATTTGCAAGTACTATTTTCCAAACATTTCGCAACCAAATTTTGCAATTTTACTAATTTCATTATGTTCTTTTTAGCTGTGGTGTTTGATTCCCTTCTCTTTACTTAGATTAAAATTTAGTCTAACATGCAAGTTGTCCACTGGACCTACCGGGGTTTTTTTCCGGTTTGACAGCATCCACTTCAACTGAAGACTGGGTTTTCGACAAAATCGTAAACAGTGTAATTCGAATTCAAAATGTGGATATGGTATTTTGATGGCCTTTATTTCGTTTTACGGTTAATTAGGGTTGGGCGATATTTTCTTTTATCGCGATATTTTCAATTTAGAAACCAGCCTCTTACCCAGGATCTTTCTGGGTAGAAACTTGAGCGACGATATATCGAAATTATCGTCATGCTCGATGACTATCGCGATATTGCTTCGCATATGTATACAGCTATTTCATGAATGAATTATTAAAGCTATTAAATGAATGCATTTATTAGCGATTCCCAGCAGCCTTTCGCGCTCGTATTCGACTTTTCCGCTTTGCTCGGGGGACAACCTTAATTGAAATAGCTGTTATAGCTTTTATAAAATCCTAAAGGCATATCTACACGATACGACTAGTCGTGTACGATTCTTATCCTGGCGTATGTATTCGAATAAATGCGTGTAAAAATGTCACATTTCAAACTTCGCCATAAACTGATGAACAGGAATAGTGGCGTCAGCAATCGTTTTCATACGCTAGGACACAGAATAGAAAATAGATCTATTTTCTATTCTGTGGCCAGGATAAGAATCGTATTCGACTAGTCGTGTCGTGTAGATGGGCCTTAAAAAATTCTTTCAATTCCTAGAAAATATAGTTTTCAGTAAAAGAATTAAAACTATTTCCTGAATTAAATACGAATTTAATACCATACAAAAGCTAATATTTATGTATTAATCCGCTAAACAACGAAATTGCAGGTTTTGCTTACGCTGTGTGCCCACGGCATTTGTGCCAGTGGAGACACAGTAGGTAGACACTGCATAGACAGTTCTGGTTTATGACCAGTAAATCAGTATTTTAGTGTTTGGATAAGTTTAAAGTGTATATTAATTGTCATAGCGTAATTGTAATTATATGTTAGTTAATTATCTTGTAAAATGTTATATTGTAGATTTCACCGTGTTAAAATAAAGTTTTTGATTGATTTTGATTGACTAGAAAAAGCATTCATATTACTTTAATTTGTTGTTTCACTTGTTTTAATAAAATTATATATAAGCTTACTATGCTTTGATATCAATTAAAATGTGAAAAATGTGGTCATTGTTTTTATTGCATTTATCGCGATATTATCGAATATCGTGATAATTTCCTTGACAATAATCGGGAGATGATTTTTTTAATATCGCCCAACTCTATGGTTAATGTTTGAATCTTTCTCATGATTCTTGTCAGGGCTCAAAATAACGGCAGGCTAAATTCGTTCCACGTGGGTCTGAGTTACCTGTCAAATTTTGGCTCTGGGAACGAGATTGGTTTTTGGCGTGTTGCGGACCCGTTACTCGTTAGATACTATGTCAATTTGTAAGGGTTTTTCTGGTATTAAACATTTTGCGATTGAATCTTGCTAAAAGGATATCGCCAAGAATGCCTCCTCGAAGCTGAATTGATCAGTCAGAAATTGCATTTGACCGGTGTCACAGCGGATTTGGACCCCCCAGTAGATATGGACCCCCCAGTAGATATGGACCCCTCGGTTCAAATCTCCTAGTAGATATGGACCCCCCGGTCCAAATCTCCTAGCAGATATGGACCCCCTTTAGCGGATATGGACCCCCTTTTCTAAACGGTTTTATACACTAAAAACAACCCCGAATAACGGTGAATATGTTAAATTCATTAGTTTTCCGATACCCGTAGCTACTTATCAACCACACATAGTCATTTATTGTGAATAGAAAACTTTTTATTGCCAGTGAGATCCAAATTCAAAAATCTTAAACTACACATAAACTAGAAAGGTCCAAATGGAAAGTGTTTATACAGTTATAAAAGGATAAATAAACACACTAAAAACTCATGTATATACGCAATATGACGTTTATATGAGCAAAATAGATAAAAAGGCTTCCATTTAGATGAGTCACCATCACATATTGTTTAAAAATTTTCATGGAATCGCGTTGCTCTAATATTCTATTTCTATAGCTTTTCTTAAAAACCAATTAACAATTAGACAACGAGGCCGAGTTGTCTATGAGCGAATAGTTAACAAGGCGAAGCCGAGTTGACTATTCGCTCATAGACAATTACGAGGCCGAGTTGTCAAATTGTTTTAGTATAAACTTTAACATTAATTTACAACTAGGCTGCAAACACAATACAAAAATACACAAAAAAAACACATTATAAAACCATTAAAGGTAAACAAATATTTTAGTTTTTGTTCGCGTAAAATGTTTTACAAAATTCAGTTTTAATTTTAAAATTTCATTGAGTGTATGTTATTTTGTCTATTTTCTTAACCTTAAAAATTTCCATTCCATATTTTTGTTGCTTTTTTCGGGGGTTTTAGTACAGAATTGTTTAACAAGTCGTCCAAAAAATCATCAGACACTTCGGCAAAAGTGCAAAACGCGAATTTTCCGCCATTTTGAATTTTCTATTAGTAGGCTATCACTAATAGCCTACTAGTAGCGTAGCCAATCAGAAGGCACAATATGTGATAGCCTACTAGTAGGTTTATACTAATAGTGGATAGTTGCAGCCGCAGGATTCCATTGAGATGAGTCACCATCACTTATTGTTTAAAAACATTCATGAAAATCGTGTTTCGTGTCGATCCAAATGCTGTATACAATTTCTACGATTGTATTCTATTTTCTATTTTATGTTTTGTGGCCTTTATCACAAATATTTAAAGTGACTAAATACTTCAGATTGATCGCTATTATGAATTTGGTTTATATTATTGGGTTCACATTACATATATTTAACATTTGAAGGGGGTCCAAATCCGCCACCGTGGGTCCATATTTACTAGTAGATTTGGACCCCCGGGGTCCATATCCACCAGTAAATTTGGAAAAATAGATTTGGACCCGGGGGTCTAAATCTACTAGTGGATATGGACCGGGAGTCCAAATCTATGGGGGTCCAAATCAACTGGGACACCGGTCAAAAATGGAAACTAATGGTCATTGTGACCAGTGTATGATGAAACGTTATTTTGAGTCCTGTCTTGTTATTTCTGTGAAGGTGAATGCTCTACTCAAATGAACACTTCTTGCCCATCAAACATGTCTGGTTTGTGAAAAATTAATAAACGCTCCTGGAGCTCATTGGATAATTTACGTCTACTAGATAAAGTTACATGGTACATGAACCACCTTCTTCACATACTTGACAAAGTTGCTTTAAATGACGATACTTTCTAGCTCCTGCACCTCCTCGCAGCTCACTCTTCTGCAGTGGTTGTTGCATTACTGGTAAACATTTTTTAATGCCTTTGCCTTCATCGTAGCATTTGAAACAACCTTGCCACTTGTTTTTAAAACTTTGCCCACTTCTCCAACTCTTCTTGCATGTTTGGCAGTAATAATGACCAAAACACCTTCCACCATTTGGATATTCTTCAAAGGTTACCACCAGTGCACCTTCATTGACAACTGAAATCTTACCAGGGTATTCCTCTTGTAAAAACATCTCAACTTTTGGACGTATTTTTTGTCTTCCTGCCATGGAATGATGCCCAGCACCGACAATAACTTCAAGCCATGTCTTCTTTTCACTTCGTGCTTTAATATCCATCTTTTCCATAAATTCATCAATCTTTTCTTTTAGCTTTCTTACTGCTTCATCTCCTCGTTCTCGTCGTTCGTTTATGATAGTTATCACTTTTTCTTCAGGATTGTCTTCTAAAAGCTGTTCTTTATCTCTGGCAAGTGTTTCTTCATTCACCACTAACAGACCATGAAGATCAACATGATTCAATCCTCGTTCTTCATTGAAAAAAGCAAAAATCTCTTTACTGGCCTCATCGTTGTACTGTTGCATAAGATCTGCATACTTCGTTTTGATGTGTTTACAGAATGATGAATGTTTTTGATTGTTAGCTGCATATGTTTCCATTGCTTTTTCTTTCCATTTCATTCGTTCTTTGTCAGTTTCTGAAGCCTTTTTACGATAGAAAATTGCTCTGAGTAGGTGTAGAAGTATTTTCTGACATTTTACTTCATCGCACAGTTCAGGTAAAATAAGCCGAACATCAGAATTAATAGGCTCGACCTTTATTACCTGCTTTGTACCATCTTTTTCTACACAACAAACTCTTTCAATATTATTAAGATAACATCTGTCTTCTCCTTTGATGTCACTTGCCAAAATGTTTTTGCATTGAAATCCTTTTTGATTGTTTTTGCGTAATACTATATTTTTGCATGATTCCTTGTCAAATTTCTGATACACAGTGAAGCTAATATCTAGCGGCAACACGTTTTCCCCGGGGGTGTGGAATGTGAAGTGTGCTTTATCTCCTGTACCAATCCTTATGTCTTTCAAGGGAATAATGGCTTGCATTACACCTGGACGCAATATCTTGACATCAGCAATAATTTGTTTTTTATAGTTAAAAACAGTCAGATCATTAGATGAAAGTAATTTTGGTGAACTTTGAGAGCCCAAATGAATCAAACATTTAAAATGGTCATCACCAGGAAACAATGGTTTCTCAGTCAAACCATCAAACTCTGGTATCCATTCAATATAAGGAACATTTGGAGAGTGACATTTATCAGAGATATTGTTGTTTTCATAAGAATCTGCAGAACATTTTTCCTTTTCATCCTGTCTTTCATTTTTCATCACTGTTTCATCAGGTTTACTGGTAACAGTTTCTTGATTTAACGAGGGTGCTTTTATTATCTTGTTTCCGATGTTTCGAACTTGCACATTACCCACATTATTATCGCACACTGGACTGCCTGGAGACCATGGAGATTCAACAAATATTGAAAATTCTGATTCGTTGACAAACTTATACCACCTGCCTAGATCTAGCTTCACTGTTGCCCTTCCTGGTTGTGTTGCAAGACAAAAAATATCAAGCACATTACCTAATTTACCAGAAGCATTTTCGTGTATTTTTATGCACATAGCCCACTCGTCTTCACGAAATTCTTCCTCGCCTTCGCGTATAATGCGAGTCTTGTTTCCATGCCAGTTTGTAAATTCGAACGCTGGATTATTTAGCTTGATAGAACACAGTCGTGTTTCTACTCCACACTGTATTGGTGAACGGCAGTCTATCACCGATACTTCATGAATGATATAATTCCAAATCCATTCAGTTGCTGAGGCAAACATTTATACGACAAGCAGCAAAATAAATAGAAATCACGATTCAAGATCTTAATCATAGATTTAATAAAAACAAACACATTTTTGCAACACCGCGGAAAAACGTCTGCGCATGCACCAAATTATGAAAATATGGCGGGGAATTTGAATATCAATTTCTAAAACAAAAACGTGCTTATTAATTGGTCAAAAATTAGTAAGACAAACGAGAAAATATAGCAAATCAGTAGACTAGACATTAATTGAAAGCGTCCTGGCATTTAAAGTATGGAATGAAATATAATTCATGTAAAAAATTGTTGATATTAACGGACACGACTTCGAAAATTTTTGCAAAATTATTTAAAACAAAAATTCAAACTAAAAAGTTAAGAAAACTCTCGAAAAGTTAAGCTTCTTAACCCACTAAAATTGTAGAATAAATCCTAAAGTTTAATTATTGTGAACACGAAATATTTTTATATTTGGACTATTTGGCGACACAGTTTTTTTTAAAGAAATGTATCTCAAACGAAAATTCGGAAATTGTCGTTGCTTAGTTGATAAACAAAATGTTTCAGACGATAAATTTGTCAACAATCACCTTTAGTTCATGTTCTTGTACAATACAATTTCTTGAACCTTCTGGCTGTATTTATTCCTAGTTTTAGAATGACATGTTTATTTTTGCGCTCGAAATCTGGCTGTAAAGACGCACAATGAAGTTACTCCTTTTTACCGCCATTTTGAGCCTTCGGAAACGTTCGGAACAGCTTCGCATCAAGTTCGCAATACTATTACAGGTAAGGTTGACGCATGCGCAGACGTTTTTCCGCGGTGTTCATTTTTGCGTTTTCGCGATCGGTGGTAAATTTGTCTGAGCATGCGCAACACGCATTGCGTGGAATACGCAACGCGTGTTTACAAAAAGGCGCAATTAGTCATTTCCCAAAGTCCTGGGTCTAGTCGTGCAAATCCCATGTTGGAGTTTGTTGGAGCACAGGTTGGAGCGGGGTTGGAGGGACAACAATCTCGTGGAATGCGAAATGGAATGCGTAGTTCAATTATAGTTCAATTTAGCCAGGATTCCTGGCTTTCGGCACAGAGTAGAGACATACAGAGACGTAACTGACTGTTGTAAACACTGCGGAAGCTTGCGTACGTTTTCATGTACCCACTTTTTTTCAGGCGACCGGGCAAAAAATGATCAACTGCGCGTGCTCAGCAAGTTTAAAGTGAGATATTTTGGTTGTCTGAAAAGTTGATTTTGATATAGTAGATACTTCTACTCTTTCACATATTTGATGCCTGTCATCATATTCAACCATATATTTTGTCCCTCCAAACGATCCCAGAATGCACTGTGATCTCTTTTGGGAAAAGGCTAATTGTGTAAATATAATTGCCAAATGTTTGGTTAGAAAATAAATTAATCATACAGAGAATCTTTTAGAAGTTTTCGTCGAAGCCATGGCATATAGGAAGTATTAATGGCAACATTTGGACATATCCTGATATAGACCCATTGCACATGACGTCACAGCGCTGAGGATGCATCTGGAGACAAATTAGCAATCTATGCATAATATAATTTTTGTAAACAAAGCGAATTTTGTAAAACTTTATAACAATTTTGTATTAAAATGGTTAATTTTGTGGTTGTTGTACCCGAACAGATATTGTTATAGGGAGCATCTGGAGGACACTCTAAGGATTTGTGACGTCAGTGCAATGGGTCTATACCCGAGTTTCCCGATTGCTTGTTTGTAATTGTTAACAAAAATATTGGAAAATGGAAACACTCTAAAAGTTATTGGTTAATATTTCCTGTAAAATAACCCAAAAATAACACTAGTTGAGTACGGTATACCAGGAATATTAAGTAAACCCAAATAGGGTTATTTCTAGCCAGTAATCAGGACGTTTAACTTGAGTGTTGATGGCGGAGTGGACATATTTTGTTTGCAAAATCCCAGTGCGCAAGGAGTGCCATTGCCAAATTCTCATGCGGTGGAACTACTGATCTCGGTGGAACCTCCATTCATTTTAGAGTGGTTCAGATTTTGGCTTCCGTTACCGTTAACCAATCCGATGCATTTAACTACCCGATTAAACAAATCAAGTGCGTATTAATTAAACCTGTGGGTGGTAGTGGAAGTCATGTCTGAACCTCTTAAGCTTTATTGCCATGTGGTTGGTGGTATAAATTAATTAAAGTGCATAATTAACTGCACAATAAATACTTAGATTTATGAACCGGTTCCATAGAAAGCTAGAAATGTGATTTTCGGAATTTTCAAGGAAATTTATTCCCAGTCGCTCATTCCCATTGGGCCTTTGCGTCACATTGTTCTGTTGAGCATTCCTATGGATGATTGCGGGGAATATATAGATTTTGTTCGGAGGGACAGTGAAAAATGTTATACTAGAACAGTCTGCATCCCATGCACATTATAGAATGGTTGTATCCAGTCGGCCAATCATGTACGAGTATTTCATAGATGGCTGATATATTACCTGTCAATGACTCTATTGTTCAATTGATTAGTAAATATATAGAGTTGCTATAAGCCTATAATGAATTCAAGATAAACCAGGAACGAGAGTGCTTAATGAAATGAATGAATCCAGTAGGCTCAGGGTATAGAATAGAGGGTGTCAATGGGATATATTTGTAGTCAGTAAACAGCTAAAATGCTACTAAGGCAGTAAATAACCAACGAGAATATACTGGCGTTTAATTTTACAGGCCTTAAAATATATTTTACAGGGCCGTCTGACAAAATGTCTGATGACGTTGATTTTGGGTCGGACATATGTATTATGATGTCCGATGACCTTTAGTTCAGTTTTGACTCGGAAATAAGTCTGAATGACACAAATGAATATATATCTTCCTCTCTTATACGTCGGACAATTTCACGAATGGGTCAGACAATGTCCGTGACCGATCGATATTTTAAGGCCTGATTTTACTGACACCGCAGAGAAATTACACTTTCAAAATATTTCATTTCTAAAGGTAGACTGTTAAAAATGTCCACAGCATTTGCTCGAATGGTTACCTGCACTCACAGTTTAGTCTCAGTGTCCTTCCCGAAATGTCCTATTGGCTTCGTTTTACGGTTAATGTTTGAATCTTTCTCATTACTCTTGTCAGTTGTCAGGGCTCAAAATAACGGCAGGCTAAATTTTCCACGTTGGTCCGAGTTACTTGTCAAATTTTGGCTCTGGGAACGAGATTGGTTTCTGGCGTATTGTCAATCTCGTTCCCCGAGCCTGCGATCCTCGGGAAGTAACGTGAGGCTCTGGGATAACTCGTTGCCGGAAGCCAGGAATCCTGGCTAAGACCGAACTGCGCATTCCATATCAACGGCCAATCAGATTCCTCCCTGAAACGGATTATCCCAGAGCCTTCGCTTCCTTCCCAAGGATCGTAGGCTCGGGGAACGAGATTGGCGTATTGCGGACCCGTTAGGTATTATGTCAATTTGTAAGGGTTTCCCTGGTATATTAAACATTTCGCGTTTGAATCTTGCTAAAAGGATTTCGCCAAGAATGCTTCCTCGAAGCTAAAGCGGAATTGGCCAGTCAGAAATTGCATTTGACCGGTCAAAAATGGAAACTAATGGTCACTGTGATAGGCGTATCATGAAACGTTATTTTGAGCCCTAGCTGTCTTGTTATTTCTGTGAAGGTGAACGCTCTAATCCAATGAACACTTCTTGCCCATCAAACATGTCTAGTTTGTGAAAAATTAATAAACGCTCTTGCAGCTCATTGGATCATTTACGTAGATAAAGTTTAAAAGTTACGTGGTACATGAACCACCTTCTTTACATACTTGACAAAGTTGCTTTAAATGGCGATATGTACCTCCTGCACCTCCTCGCAGCTCACTCTTCTGCAGTGGTTGTTGCATTACTGGTAAACATTCTTTAATGACTTCGCTCTTACGATAGCACTTGAAACAACCCTGCCACTTGTTTTTAAAACTTTTCCCACTTCTCCAACTCTTCTTGCATGTTTGGCAGTAATAATGACCAAAACACCTTCCACCATTTGGATATTCTTCAAACGTTACCACCAGTGCACCTTTATTGACAACTGAAATCTTACCAGGGTATTCGTCTTGTAAGAACGTCTCAACTTTTGGACGTATTTTTTGCCTTCCTGCCATGGAATGATGCCCAGCACCGACAATAACTTCAAGCCATGTCTTCTTTTCACTTCGTGCTTTATCCATCTTTTCCATAAATTCATCAATCTTTTCTTTTAGCTTTCTTACTGCTTCATCTCCTCGTTCTCGTCGTTCGTTTATGATAGTTATCACTTTTTCTTCAGGATTGTCTTCTAAAAGCTGTTCTTTATCTCTGGCAAGTGTTTCTTCATTCACCGCTAACAGACCATGAAGATCAACATGATTCAATCCTCGTTCTTCATTGAAAAAAGCAAAAATCTCTTCACTCGCTTCATCATTGTACCGTTGCATAAGATCCGCATACTTCGTTTTGATGTGTTTACAGAACGATGCATGTTTTAAATTGTCAGATGCATATGTTTCCATTGCTTTTTCTTTCCATTTCATTCGTTCTTTGTCAGTTTCTGAAGCCTTGTTACGATAGTACATTGCTCTGAGTAGGTGTAGGAGTATTTTCCGACATTTTTCAACTTTTACCACATCACACAATTCAGGTAAAATAACACGAACATTAGAATTAATAGGCTCGGCATGTATACCATCTTTTTCTATACAACAAACTCTTTCAATATTATTAAGATGGCATATGTCTTCTCCTTCTATATCATGTGCTGAAACGTTTTCACATTGAAATCCTTTTTGATACCGGTACTTATTGCCTATCATTTTGCATGATTCCTGGTTAAATTTCTGATACACAGTGAAGTTAATGTTTAACAGCATTGGTATTTTTTCAACAGTGAATTTAAACTGTGCTTTACCTTTTTCGCTAATTCTGAGGTTTTTCAAGGGAACGCTGGCTTGCAAATGTACATCAGGACGCAATATTTCTACCTCAACATCAGCAATATGTTTTTTATAATAACAAACAGTCACATCATTTGGTGAAAATGATTGTGGCAAAAATTGAATCAAACCGCGACTTGAAATGGTCATCATCTAGAAACACTGGTTGCTCATTCAAGTCATCGAACTCTGGTATCCATTTAACACAAGGAACAGATATTGGAAATTCTGATTCATCAACAAATTTATACCACCTGCCTAGATCTAGCTTCACTGTTGCCCTTCCTGGTTGTGTTGCAAGACAAAATATATCAAGCACATTGCCAGAAGAACCTTCTTGTAGTTTTAGGTTCCTAACCCACTCGTCTGCACAAAATTCATCTTCAACTTCACGTATAATTTGAGAACTATCACTGTGCCTATTTGTAAATTTGGCGCTAGGATTATTTAGCTTGATAGAACACAGTAGTGTTTCTACTCCACATTGTAAAATTCGTGAACGGTAATCTACAGTTACCTCCTCAATGGTCTCAATGAAATGATTACAATCAACTACCGAGGCACACATTATGATAGGTAGCACAATATATGTATAAATCACGAAACAATAGTTTATATTATGATTTTACATACAGTAATTTTACCTTATTCCTTGCCACATTACAGTTTGCATTGTAAACACTCTCGTTGCGTAGCTACAATATCAATATTTACAATCTCCAAATCTCGTAGGCTGGGGAAATTTGGTTAGATTTCCGTCAGTGAAGAACGGCTGAGGAGTATATTTTGTGGGCACATTAGAAAATAAAATACAATTACAAAAAATCAACTGGAATTATAAATCTGAAACATCAGTTCTGTCCGACCCGACTAGAATTGAAATTTTCCGCTAGTTATCTGAACCATTTTGCGTTCGCAGTTTGACTAATGGTCGCGTGTCGCGGGTAAAAAGTGGCGGGTCGTAAAAAAGCTTCAAACCGTGTATTTTATTGAATCGCGGGTTGAATAAAGTGTGTAAAAATCACGTTATGCTTTAGTTATTGAAGAATTTTTATCGCTAGTATTATTCAATATTGACGTATTTATGCAATGTATATTGTTTGGATTATTTTTTGTCTGTATGGGGAGGGGGGCTTAAAACAGAGAGAACAATTAAGATCCTGGCCTTGCGGGATTAACTCGTGCCAGTAGACCTGGCATACAGGAACAAGTTTGCAAAAACAGAATGAAATTTGTGAGTCTGACGTCTAGCTACACCGCATTTTTAATATAGTAAATTTGACAGCAAGTTTGAAAGATCAAGGCTATACATACAGTATCATTTCGAGAGTCGAGAGTTTATACATTTAATACTCCTGTACTTTTCGATATCCTGTCATATGCATCCGGCATCCTATGGCATTACATTACATTTTATAATGTCTGTAAACGAAGAATGCTGTTTTTTATTTCTGCCTTTTTAATTCTGAATAATAATTGAATGATTTTCCTATTTTTCCATAATATTTCCAAATAATTTGCGTACGTACAGTAGACGTCAAATTAAATGTTTATCCTGTTGTCATACCACAGAACGGCTACCCTTTAGTTAGTACGTCGAAGGCTGGAAGGCAAAATATTCGTCGGTTCACAACTACTCGTAGAGTGTAGACGCATATAACGTCTGTTAAGAAATTACAGGTATAGCAATACGGTTTCGGCCTACATATTACTATCCAATTTCTGACCATATCAGGCATAAAAATCCGCTATTCAGCGGCTCAGTGCGCTTGTCGTCAAGGCTCTGCGCATCGATGAGTGCTTTCTAGAAACAAGTGTTAGAGAACAGCTACTTAAATATCCGGGTTGTTGGTGATACTGTACTGTACTTTTAAAATGTCCTAGCATGGATATATCAATTATTTGTGACTGAATGGTTGTTTTTAAATTGGTATAAAACTGATTGTAATAGTAGTGGTAAGGGACCGCTCATTATTTATTGTACAGGGGGGACTGGGGAGAAACTCTACAGTTATAATATTTTTTCGTTGCCCCCCTCTTAAGACAAGTAAAATTTTCAAAGCCCCCCCCCCAACAGGCAAAACAAGAACATAAATTTTGCCCCCCCCCCTCTAGCTCTTTATCTTTATTTAGAGAAACAAAAACTCTAGCTGTTTATTTTAGAGAAAGAAAAATAGGTAATGGGGACCAATAGACATTCCCATTATAGACTAATTTTTTATCTTAGCAAAAAAAGTATATTCCCGGGAAGGGCATACTAAAATTACTAAAATTCCAAAGTTTGGTTGCAAAATGTTGTAAAATATGTAGAAAATATAGCCTTCCAAAGTTTGCAAATTTTGTATTCTTTTGTATAATTGCAATTTTCGCATGCAATACAAAAGTGTACAAAATTTGCAAACTTTGCAAGGCTATATTTTCCGTATTTTGCAACAATTCGCAACCAAACTTTGCAATAATTTACATACTGTTTTAGTATGCTCTTTCTAGCTGTGGTGATTTATTTGCATCAAGGCCGGATTTTGAGGGAAGTGTGGAGAGGTGCGCACCTCCCCAGAGATCGTTTTGCACCTCCCCTGAGAATTTTTCCACTCTCTTGAAAGGTCATGCACTTCCCCTTGGGAAAGTTTCAATGATGGAACAAAGTGAAAATGTGATGGTTGCTTAGGATCTACACTTTGTGACGTAAGAAAGTTTTCTCTGTAAAATTGAAACAGTGATAGCCATGTCAAGCACCCTTTTAATGCAATGTTTTGAAAGAAACAGTGTATACATTCATAATTCATTAATACACTGGTACATATTATGTACACTACATGCATACCTCACCTCGTTGATATTGGCCTGTTCTACAATAAGCCCTAACTTTCCATGGGAGTTGTGAGCTAGACCGTTGCACCTCTCCTAAAATTTTTGTCCACCTCCCCCACTATTTTCACCAAAATCCGGCCTTGATTTGCATCTATTTGACTTCCATTTATGAATATTAAAGTCTATAAATATTGTTATTTGTTGTTAAGTTGTTTTGTGATACATTTTTAAAACTGTTTTTTCAAACTGGTAAATATTTTCAAAGCCCCCCTTCTTTCGTCTCTCTGTATTTTTTCAAAGCCCCCCCTTTTAGGTTTTGAAAAATTTAAAGCCCCCCCAGTTTCTCCTCAATCCCCTCCCCCTGTACAATAAATAATGAGCGGTCCCTAAACTGAATTTATTTCTACCAAAGTCTTTTTTGTTTCTTTCAGAACCAATTTTTGGTTAGAGGATTTTTGTCATAATATAATTGTAGGTTTACCATATTGAAATTTTAATGACATCTAGTTATATAAAAGCGTACACTTGCTATCACGACTGGAGGGCAACTGTCGAGGACAGAGCACCTTAATTAATTGGTGGTTTTAAGTTGGTCTTAGTCTCTTAAGCCGTGTTTGCACTACGAGCCTCAGCCTGCCCTGGGCCTACCTTTGGACTAGATTTTTGTAGTGTAAACGCACTTCGGCCTGGTCTAGGCCAGGAAATCGGGGCCCATCAGAACAGGTGGACCAGATTTCCTGGCTAGGCCAGGCCGAAGTGCGTTTACACTACAAAAATCTAGTCCAAAGCTAGGCCAGGCTAAGGCTCGTAGTGTAAACACGGCTTTAGTGCTATATCAACGTCACTGTAATTTATCTAGAAGTTAATATGCAAATTAACTGATATAATGCTTGTGATGTTTATACTCTGAGTGTATATCCACACCGGGCAAGCTTGAAAAATATGCCTGACCACGGTGGGAATCGAACCTACGACCTTTGGAATACTAGCCCAATGCTTTTATGCAGAAACATAGCACCTCTCGTAAAGTCTTTGCTGATTGGCCAAAAGCACATATAAGGGATCGGAGGGATCGAACCAATCAGAATGCTAAAACGATGTTGCGGGCGAAGTTCCAATCGTCCACAAATGATTCCAAATTGGATACTTGGGGTCTTTGGGGTTTCATCATCATCATTTGTATAATGGTCATGACAATACTGCTCCCTGTGGTACCCCATGGTCATTGAGAGTGTATCAGATACCGATGAGCCGCTACAAACATACTATTTCCTTTTGCTTAAGGTGGCTCCCTACAGTTGTAAAGAAACAGCAGCGAAAAAAATTGTCAAGCTAGATAAATTATTTTACAAGTCGCTCCTCCAAATTTAAATCCATGCATTGGCATTGTCGTCTTGCTACAACCACCAAGAACGTTAATGCTAGAATATCGCTCAAGCCCCCACCACGTGACGCAGTATCTCACGTAATAGTCAATCTTCATTGGTCTACAAAAATTTGATATTGGAGGAAGCAGAAAAAATCAAAAACTCCTAAAGCTCACACGCTTGACAAAGGCAGGGTTGTTCCAATGGCCCATTTATTCTTGGATTAAGATAGTGTTGGTGAGCTCTCACATTCGAATGACGATAAAAAATATCCGTCGCAAGAACAGGACAAAATCAAACTACCTTTTGGGAAATGAACGAGATGTTCTACTTCCAGTAACTTTAGCACTCTAGACTCTGTTTTTAGAAGCCCCGACACTAGTAAGTCTAGTCGACAATAGACACACGAAAGATCCCGGGAGCACGCCCACACAAATGTGCTTGGTTCGGCTGCTGAACCTATCACAGCTCAACAAAATAAATCAGCGAAGCTTTGCCGAATAAACTATAGTGAACGGAATTTTGTAGAGCGTGCACATGACCATGAGCATTTTGCAGTACAAAAATTCACCAGAAAGTGGAAAAACATCTCGAGAACATGAAAGCATGTTCTTAAACTTAAACAATGTACATCATGTTCACTATTTGACGAGGTTGACTCTCTTACCGTTACATTAACCAGGCATTAACCAATAACCATTAAACGCTCCTTATATATACGTAAATGAGTATACACCCACCGTAACAAAATGTATAAACGTTAACATGTACATTCAATTTTAGTCTCATAAAATATAAACCACTTACATGCAATATTTAACGGTCTTGTAACTCGACCAGGCCCCAGGGTGCAATAATTCGCGTGCTCACGTATAGGAAGTTTTATGGTCTGCTACTTCCTTCTTTCCAGCCAAATACCAATATTCGCGTACTTACATTTTGGTTGTACTATATTCATGTCCCGCAAACTTTCCAAGGTATTCAAAACCATATTTTCAATAGGAGGATAGAAAGTAAAATTTATTTGCTTTGGCTTCATAATTTACCAGGAATAATTTATCCAAGACTATACATTGAGTCATTGGAACACCAGCGATATTTAGTCGAAAATCTTGAATTATCGCACCCTGCCGGCAACAATTAATTCTAAACTGACCAAATATTCCATTTTATTCAATTTAAAAAACTATCATATGTCTATTCATAAATTTCTTAGAGGGCGCGAGATATCAGAATTCCAGTAGATTTACACAACCATCTTGCCCATAATTGGTATGACCTGATCAAAACGCGGCCGTTTAGTTGGATCCGTATTCCAACAAATACTGATCATTTTTGCCATGTGAGGAGCAAATCCAGGAGGCATACTTGGACGCAATCCTTCGAGGGCAATCTGAATGAAGAAAAAAAAATACTCTTAGACACATGGTGGTGAAGAGAAGATCAAACAAGTATATTGGGAATTATAAGATTGTCTAAATTACATGTAAGAAGTATTGAGATATATAGAATACGGTCAAGTGACTCTAAACGACACCATGAGAACGAGGTACAGATACAGATATTTCACAGCACACTCCATATAGGGTTTTTCAGTGACTGGTTACATTATGAATAGATAGATAGAACCGGACTTATTATCGTGATTAGCGTGATTATCGTTTTTTGTTAAATTTCGCACGAAGCCTCGACGTGGGGGGCGTCAAAGTTCTTCACGACGAGAACGTAATTTGGATGTGACTATATTCTATATGAGTTTACTGCATGTATTAGGGTTTACTTTATACATGCAATTTTCATATTGGTGAACATTCAACGCGAATATCTACTGACCTTCATTCCAACTTCCATTGGTGGCATGTCAACAAACGGAACTTCTCTTGTAGACATTTCCCACAACAGAATTGCGAAACTCCACATATCTGCCGAACGTTGATCCACTTCTTCTGGATTTTTATTCAAAACTAAAATTAAACAGGAAATAGCAAAACTTGTATTAATATCTCTTCAATACATTGTCGAACATGAGTAAATTATTTACTTCCTATGGCTATGTGTTTTATGCATGCAAGTGACAATGAAATTGCTTCTGCATAATTTCTCCACGTATATTATTATTTCCCACATCTTTAATCGTCTTTGAAAAACTCACTCGTGCATTTTTTACAAATTGCATTTCAGACCATATCACCTACATTATCACGTAACTATAGGGTATAGCTTCAATTAAACTATTTATACAGTAATACAAATACGCAAACTTTAAACTAAGATACATAGCCACGCATGAACATGGATTAGTTATGCTCCAGTAGTTTATTAAGAACATTTGCTATCTTTTTTAGACGTCACGACGGCAATGTTGGTGGTACTGTATATACATATATAGAAAAAAATCTAATTATCCTCCATTGAATTTGGCACCAACACGGCCGCCGTTTTATTGTCTTTTAATTCCCACGAAATCGATTGCAGTCCACCTTTTGCAATTACCTTCTGGGGCCATCCACTGAGGTTGGAAGACACGTTTAATATCTTGAAACGAATATCTGTAATCTGCCATGGAAATACGTGCTGTTAAATCATCGTCAATCTAAAGGGAACATATCATGTTGATTCTTCAAAATCCATAAAACACGAATCATGAACGTTTAAGCATGCACTGCAGAAAGCTTGTTCTTCAATGGTAACAAACTAGAATGGCATTTAATGTAATTACATCTTATATATACTGTAGTTATATAGTCCGTCTTAGAAACACGGTAAACAGGCAAGGCAACTGCGTACAATCTCTAGTAGAAATCGCGTCAAGTGTATTTAATCGTCTTCAAGTGGTAGTTTGAATGCTGATTTTCAATTCTATATTTGATTTTTTCAAATCAATCTCACAAAGAATAGACATGGCGACAGTAACTAATACACTGTCCCTTCCGGAAGTACGTCATCTTGGCTATACAGCCTCGTTTTCGTGATTGAGACGTTAGTGTTCAACTAATCTCAACACAAGATGTCATACTTTCCAGAAGGGTGTATTGAGACAATGGTGATATCGAAACGAGTATCGTACAAGAAAAGGTGAAACTATATAGACGGTGTAAAGTCACATGAAATATTCTCACCATGATGTGCGAGCTCTTGATGTACAATCGAGGTACAAAAGGATCAAGTGAGTGCAGATATTTCATTCCTCGAGCAATGTCCATAGCGAACTTCAGAGCTTGAGCTGCATCCACCATAATACCTAACAATAATTTTTAACGTTAAGAGTGGTTAAGATACAAATTGCATCGCAAAAAATGTGGAGGTATGCACGTCTGACTGAGATTTTCACTACATGATTTTCACTACATTCAGTCTCAGTTCTACAGCTGTAGTCAGTCATAAAACATTTTTTCGAAATACAATGCCACAAAATAAATTCAGTGCCAAAAACGAAACACGTGACAATTGCCTAAACAAAAGACATTTATTGATACAAGTCTTGACTTCTGATGGTTGCGAACTTGTAGTTAGTTGTTGTATCATTCAAATGAGTAAATAATTTACTTCCTATGGCTATGTGTTTTATGCATGCAAATGACAATGAAATTGCTTCTGCATAATTTCTCCACGTATATTATTATTTCCCACATCTTTAATCGTCTTTGAAAAACTCACTCGTGCATTTTTTACAAATTGCATTTCACACCATATCACCTACTGTATATATACTCAATATACACCCTTTTTTCAACTTACAATACAGTTTGGATTACTTAATTCAGTCTCATATTCCACAACGCAACCACGTAAGATATCTTATGGCACAGTAATATGCGATAAATATTGCCATTTCGTACTTCGAATGTCATTACAGTATTGAAATTCAACCCGTATATTCTTTATTTCCATGCTTCCTTTATGAAATGGTTTGGCTCACACGTTCATAAACGGCTATACAAGAACAATTATTAGCCACTCCTTTATTTCCGGCGAAAAAGTGCCAGCAAATGGATGGTGGCCAGAGGATGGTGGCAGTGAATATAAGCTTACCAGAGCCTTCATGTAAGACATTGTATAGCGATCCATAAGGCATGTACTGACTTAAAATGACTAAGGATCCCGATTCATTTACAGCTCCCAATACAGGCAAGACATTCGGATGTGAAAATATCCTAAAACACAATAACGTAGTCATAAGTCATTTTGTTAAGTATTAGAAACACACCGGTTAACCTTTTCCTGGTTACTCTAAAATTAACACTGTTTTGACTTAATGTTCCTGGTTAATTCAATTTCCGGCTTAATTTAACCACAGTCGTGATTAACATGATCACTATCATAATTTAACTAGGATTCCTTAATAATCCACAGTCCACCTAACATAATCTGGTTAATTCAACCATATATAGCCTG